GGACCCCAAGGGGTGCTGGGGGGGCGGCAGAGACCCCGGCTCTGGGTCAGGGTCACCAGAGCACGTTCTCCACACAGCCCAGAACAAATCCAGCACAGAGCTGGGGGTCAGGGGGTCGCTCGCCTGGGTCAAGGGGTCACATCAAGGGCCAGACCCCTGATCGGGAGTCAGGGTCACAGAACACAAGTGGGGGACAGTGGTTAGAGCGAAGAGGTCAGAGGTCAGGGCGGAGGGATCAAAGGTCAGTGTCTCAGGTCAGAGTTAGTGCCTGGGGTCAAGTTCATGGGTTGGCACATGAGGTCAGGGCAAAGAGGTCAGAGTCAAGAGGTCAGAGGTCAGTGACTCAGGTCAGGGATGAGTTTTGTGAATGGGAGCGAGAGGTCAGGAAGAAGGGGTCAAGGGTCGAAGAGAAGGGGTCAGAGGTCAGTGACGCAGGTCAGGGTCAGCGACTGGAGTCAGGCTCAGGGGCTGGGGTGTGGGGACAGGAGCCGGGCTCAGAGTCGGGGCCGTGCTGGTCTCCAAGCCCGTTACCTGGGGTCCAAAGTCTCCGGCTTCTCCCTTCAGCCCGGGGCTCCCTGGCTGCCCCTGGATGGCGACAGCAGAGCAGAGGCGGTTACGTGGCGGCAGTAAATGGCCTCAAGCCACAACCCTCCCCACAGTCTCCCAGGGCGCTCGGCCCCACAGAACCAGGGGATGCGACATTTCAGTGACACCAGCCCCATGTGCTGAGGTGCTGGGACCCACGGAACCAGGGTGCATGGAATTCCAGTGGCCTCCCCACCCCCTGCCCCACTCCCTAGGGGGCTGGGAATGCAAAGACATGAAGCCCTAGTGACTGCAGCCCCCCCCAGCCCTGACACCCTCCCCCACAGCCCCAGAGCACCAGCCTCCTCCCGACCCCCACCCAGAGCAGGTACCTACCAGGGGCCCAGGCCGGCCGGTGTAGCCCATGGGTCCCGGGGGGCCACGCAGGGCCATCTGGGGGGAGAGAGAGAAGAGGACGAATTACACTACAGCAAGGCCAGGGTAGCAGCCAAACACAGCAAGGGAAAAGGGGTGACACTAGAATAACAGGAAACAAGGGGTCTGAGGAAATTATTGGGGGCTGAGCAGGGAAGAAGGAGCGTTCCCACTGAGGTCCTAAGAGGGCAATGAAACACGGACATATCACCACTGATAGAGTGGAGGGGAAGACGTGAGTCTCGAGCGTTCCCACTGAGGTCCTAAGAGGGGAATGAAACACGGACATATCACCATTGATAGAGTGGAGGGGAAGACGCGAGTCTTGGTGCCCTAGAAATGCAGCTGCAGACGTTCCAGGGTTGGCTGTCAAAGCCCCGGGAAATGCCAACCATTGATAGAGTGGAGGGGAAGACGCGAGTCTTGGTGCCCTAGAAATGCAGCTGCAGACGTTCCAGAGTTGGAGGTCAAAGCCCCGGGAAATGCCAGCTGGGTTCTAGAAGTGGAGAAGTATCATTCTTGAACACTGGAGTGGGTTCTAGAACAGAGAGCACTGTTCTGGGATCTTGGGGTGGGGTTCTAGAACAGGGAGCACTGTTCTGGGGTCTTGGGTGGGGTTCTAGAACAGGGAGCACTGTTCTCGTGTGTCGGAGTGGGCTCTATGAGGGAGCGCTATTCTAGAACATCGGGGTAGGGTTCTAGAAGGGGAAGTGCTGTTCTAGAGCATTGGGATGGGGTTCTAGGAGGCTGGCACGGGGTGGAGTTCTGGAACAAGGATTGGGTCATTTCTGGGAAGGGCTAACAAGGTTTGAAGGAAAGATTAATCAAATCACGGGCTATGATAATCCACAATAACGAGGAGGAACGTTCCAAAAATGCAATACAAGGTTCTGATACATTTGTAAGGGTTGTAGATGGGCATAGACGGTGGTACGAAGGAACGGGAGGGGCGGACTGCCATCTCGCCCTGGTTCTAGAAGGCCAAGCACACGGCCATGTTGTTTGAAGAGCTACTTCGCCATAACGTTACGAACAAACTTAGAAGAGCATCTAACAGGGATCTAGACAGACTCTAGCCACTACCTGGTATGATACCTTAAAGAAAAACAACATCACGATTTTAACGTGGCTCTAGAAAAGTAACAACCTGTGACCCCTGGGCGGTTCTAGAGACCCATTGGTTTTAGGTTCTCGATTAGCACAGTTCTCCAGGCTCCAGGGAAGGAAAATGAGGCAGGGTCTTTCCCAGACTCCTTGGACCCCTTACCCCAGCCCAGCCCAACTCTCCCTGCCAGTCCCCCTCTGCACTCACCCGGGCTTGCTGCAAAATGGCCTGGGCCTGTGCCTCTTGTGCTGATGCCACCGGCCCCTTCTCACCACCGCTGCTCCCAAAGCGGAACTGGGGGAGGGAAGACAAACCTTGAGGGGTAGAACTCGCACCAGAGCCTCCGTCCTGCTCAACCCTTCCCACTTCACGGGGGCTGAGATTCCACTGCCAGCACTTCCCTGGACTATCCCAGTCTCCCGGAGACCTGCTGAAACATGCCCAGTCCCAGGCTACATGTGTGGGCTAGGCTCTCCCAGACCCACTTCATGCCCTGTGGTTCTAGGTAATGCTACCTGGTGCCCATTTCTGTTCCATGCTCATGTAAGTCCACTGTAGTCTTGCTGGTTCCAGGTAATGCTATCAGAGTTCTCCCTTCTGTTCTAGACTCCCATAGATTCACTGCATTAGCTTTGGTTCCAGGTAATGCTATGAGCTCAAGTCTTCAGTTCTCAACTCGCTGGGCTCTCCAGTTCCAGATCTCATTTTGAGGGCTCTCCTTTCTATCCTAAACTTCCATATCCCCATTATATTATCAACATTTCCAGATAATAGGGCACCAGATTTCTCCTGTCCTGTTCTAGACTCCACACAGGCCCATCCGCTGTGCAATCTCCAGTTCTAGATCACCCACCCAAGCTTTTTCCTTCTAATCTAGACCCAGACATCTTCTTTGCTTTATGTAATACTTGTAAACTCTATCAGGTCTGTTACAGATTTATACTCTGAGGCTACATCTAGCCTGCATCCCTTTGTCAACAGAGGGATGCAAATCAAGCACATCGAAATTGCTAATGAAGCAGGGATTTAAATACCCCTCACCTCATTAGCATAAACATGGCTGCTGCTTTTTTTCAAAATGGAGTTTTAAAAAAACCCAGCAGTCTAGACATGGATCTGTCAAAAATAAACCCTTTTTCGGCAGATCCTGTATCCCTCTCTGGGTTCTAGATTCAAACAGCCCCACGACATAATAACCAGGTCCGGTTAAAAGAGTCAGACTCCTGCCTTTCCCATGTTAGATCTTCACAGATCCACCCTACAATCTCCAGTTCTAGATCACAGTACCAGAATTCCCTTCTTTGTTTTAGACGCTGTCTCCTCCCTAGTTCTAGATAACACTATCTCTGTTCTCTCTTACCTTTTAGATCCCTACAGGTCCATCTACCCTCTCCAGTTCTAGGCCACGCTCTCAGTTCCTCTAGACCAGGGTTCTGAACTGGGGGTCCATGGACCCCCAAGGGGTACATGAAGCCAAGGGGTACGTGGACTGAAAAGATTCAGAGCCACTGCTCTAGACCCCACCAGCCCACTGATTAGTCTACAGCATTAGGTATTTGAGTTCTGGAACACCATAGACACATTGTAACACCTAGTAGTTCTGGATCTTGTTATCGGAGTCCCTGTACCTGCCGTCGACTTCCACAGACACAGCATATTATCCCTGGTTCTAGGTACCACAACAGGAGTCCTCCTTGTGTTATTCAAAACCCAGAAACCCACGTTATCCTTTCTAGTTCCAGTTCACACCATAAGTTCTCCTGGTGTCATGTTAGACTGCAGAGGCCCACCCTCCACATACTCCTTTGGTCCAGCTCACGCGCATATTTCCTCTGGCTTTATTCTAGATCCTCCCAAATCCACCCCAGCTCTGGGTCACCTTCCCCGGCTGTGCTAGACCCCAATCAACCTGTGTTCACCCCATCTACTCCCAACTGCGGCAGCCCCACCATGAACCCTTCAAACACCTCCGCCCTCACCGGGAGCATGAGAGATGAGCCCGGGGGGCCGGGCATCCCATCCGAGCCCGGGAGACCTGAACGGCCAGGGGGACCCTGTCGGAAAGAGGCAGAGCAGGAGGTTAGTGCATGTGGGGGGCTTCCACTCCTCCAGTGGTGCTCTGAGCTTCCCCACACCCCGTGCTGTCCTCACACCCTCCCAATGGCCTGACGCACGCCGACCTGCCAGGGCTCTCTGGCCTATCCCCAGGCCATCGGCACGGCGCAGGCACAGACACATGCTAACTCACGGACCCGCATAGACACACGCTAACACAGACACACACTAACACATACATGCACAGACACATGCTAACACCCGCAGGCACAGATACGCACAGACCTGTTAACACGCAGGCACAGACACACACAGACACGCTAACACATGGACACACAGAGACACACGCTAACACATACTGGCACAGATACACACTATCACAGGCAGACACACGCAGGCTCTTAGGTGCTCACATGAACAGCACCATCCCCAGCCAATGGGGCATGACATCCCGTACCAGTGCACACTCACACCTCCCCGTGCAAACCCACACTCACACCTCCCTCGAAAGGGGGGCTGCAGTCTCCCCCAGAGCTGAAGCTGGACCCACAGCCCCTGCCCTGGGGCCAGGTCGCCGCTCGCACTCACCCTCTCACCAGGATCTCCTGAGGGGCCTGGGGGGCCCTGTGTTCCCGGCGGCCCTGTTATGCCCTGAGAAATACACGAGAGACATAGTGAGGTTAATGCACCATCAGGGGTCAGGAGCAGCACCCCAGCATCCCCCCACACCTACCGCAGGTCCTTCGGGGCCAGGGGGGCCCTCCACCAGCATTCCCTGCAGAAGGAGAGGCAGAGGGCACCGTTACGCTGGCGACAGGCAGGTGGAGCAAGGGGCACAGGGGAGCCCTTGACAGATACAGCCCCGGCCATGGGGCGCCCTAGAGAGACTGGGTTTTGCCAGGTGAGTCTGAGAAGGGGGAGAGTCTCTGTGCTCATCCACACCGGGGGCTGTGCGCACACGCCTGGCTTGGGTTCCCTGTAAGCCGGGCGCTTGGGTGGCCACCCAGGAGAGAGTCCAGGCCCACCCAGCTGATTGGCAGAGCGCCCCGGCGAGGTTTGTGTTCCTGTGGGGATACATGGGGGGCCCAGACTCTGCAAAGCCCAGGATGGACAATGGAGGGGCTGGCGGGGGAGCAGCTGGTCTCCCCTTAACCTGTCAACGCAGGGACCTACCGGTTCCATGACGGCCGGCTCTCCCTTCTCCCCTTTGTAGCCTCTGACGCCACGCACAGCCTGGGGGTAACACACATGTAACCGCAAAGAGGGGCCCGGTCAATATAATGCACCCGAGGCCCCCTTCTGGCACCCTCCCAGCCCTGTAAACCCCAGCACCTCCACCCGGCCGCAGGGCTCACCCCGCACCACTCAGCCACCCCACCCCGAGGCTCTGCTATCTGCAGCTCCCTAGTCCCGCTCCCTCCTTTCCCCAGGTCCTGCTCTCCCTCCACCTGCCAGTGCAGCAGGAGCTGAGTAAAAACTGGTGCAAAAGGAGGGTCAGGTGTGGGCCAGGTGCACACGAAATGTGCAGTTCATAGCACCATGGTGCGAGTAAAGGGGGAGTAAAGCCTGAGTAAAACCTAGCGTGAGGTGTGAGTGAATCTGGAGCAGGGTCCAAGCGAGGTGCAAGTAGAAATGGAGCTAGTCTCACTAAGGTTCGAGTACAATAGGAGTGAAGTTTGAGTAAACCTGGAGAAAACTGAAAATGGAGTAGGAGCTGTGAAATGGTTGTGCAAAGTTTGAGTAAAAATGAAATAAACATGGGGCAAAACTCTGCATTTAAATTGCACATGGTCGGAATAAATGTGGTATATAGGTGAAGTAGCACAGAGCAGGGTCTGTGTAAATGTGGAGTAAAATCTGTGTGAAACTGGAGTAAGGGCGGCATGTCAGTGGAGTAGGGGCTGAGTGAATGTGGAGTAAAATCTGAGTAAGACTGGAGTAAGGGCAGCATGTCAGTGGAGCAGGGTCTGAGTGAACATGGAGTAAAATCTGAGTAAGACTGGCGTAAGGGCGGCATTTCAATGGAGCAGGGTCTGAGTGAACATGGAGTAAAATCTGAGTAAGACTGGAGTAAGGGTGGCATTTCAGTGGAGCAGGGTCTGAGTGAACATGGAGTAAAATCTGAGTAAGACTGGAGTAAGGGCAGCATGTCAGTGGAGCAGGGTGTGAGTGAACGTGGAGTAAAGCTGGAGTAATCTGGGGCAGGCTATGTGTAAGGTGTTTGTCCCAACCCTTCAGCTATCCCCATTCCACTGTTCTCCTACTGCCTGGGGAGACAAATCTGCCCTTTCTCAGTGGACCCCCCCAATCCTCCCCCTGACCCCATCACCCACTCAGAGCCTCTGGGCCTGTTGCGTTAGGGTGCCCCATTAGCTCTGAGCTAGTCAGTGCATCAGCTCTGAGGGGACACTGAGGCCGGGCTACACGAAAGACGCCCCAGGAGAAGGGGTCATGAGAAAGATTTATAGGCCTGCATCTGATGATGCTCCTGGCCCTAAATCCCCAGCCCCATTGAGATGGCAGCGTGGGGGGCAGGGGAATTACCGTGTCCCAGCGCTGACAGTACTCGGGGAGGAGGGGTGTAACAGAGATGGCCGTCCATGGGGATGACATCACAGGTGTAAGATGACATCACAGAGGGGGGAACACCCTGGCAGGTGAGGGGCGTTGCCATGGCAGGGGATGTCATGGTTACAGCATCAGATGTGATGCCATCGGGGCACAACGGGCCCATCTCTGAGCATACGAGGTAGGGGAGAGGATGATGATGTCACTCAGCAAGAGGTGACTTCATAAAGGAGGAAGCGCATCACAGGAAGTGGAATGGCAGAGGGAAATTGACACAATGATCAGTAAGTACAGGGAAGGACTGCCAAAGGCAGGAAGTGACCACCACACTAGACAGGAAGTGAAGGCAGCAAACAGGAAGTGATGCCACACTAGACAGTCATGCCCCCCACAATGCCAAGCCAACATGGAGGAAGTGATGTCACAACAAACAGGATATGACTGACACAACATTGCATTCTGACAAGGAGGCAGGGATGCCACAAATAAAATGAAACCACAACATGGCACACAGCAGGGACACCATGAAAAGCAGGAAGTGACACATCAGAAAGTGACGCCTAAACAGGAAGTGATGCCACAACATGCCAACAAATGACCACAAACAGGAAGAGACACTACGATGACAACATAGCTCCACAAATGGGAAGTGACGTCACAACAAACAGGAAGTGATACCACGAGAGACAGAGCCACAAACAGAAAGTGGTGCTGTAAAAAACAGGAAATACCACCAACTAAGGGCCATGAACAGGAAGTGATGCCACAACAAACAGGAAATCACACCAACAAAAGGCCATGAACAGGAAGTGATGCCATAACAAACAGGAAATGACACCGACAAAGGGCCACAAACAGGCAGTGATGCCACAACAAACAGGAAATGACACCAACAAAAGGCCATGAACAGGAAGTGATGCCATAACAAACAGGAAATGACACTGACAAAAGGCCACAAACAGGCAGTGATGCCACAACAAACAGGAAATGACACCGACAAAGGGCCATAAACAGAAAGTGATGCCACAACAAACAGGAAATGACACCAACAAAAGGCCATGAACAGGAAGTGATGCCATAACAAACAGGAAATGACACCGACAAAGGGCCACGAACAGGAAGTGATACCACAACAGCGAAGAAGAGACCTCTGGAAGACCATCCCAGAGAGGCCAGCAGGAGGAAGGGCCCGAGGAGACGTCCCCGTGCCCCACTTACGCCTCCGTTCTGGGGGGTCTCTGCAGAGAGCACGGGCCCCAGCTCCGATGGCTCGGCTCCCTCGGGAAAGTCCTTATAGACGTACTCGTACTCCTGCCCCGGCAGTGCTGTGTCCTCCCCCGTCACGTACTCCTCGGCCTCCCCCGGCGCGACAGGGGCTGGGCTGGGAGCCTCCTGCCCCACAGGATGGGGAAGAAGCAGAGCGGGAAAGGGGAGGACGAGAAGAGAGCCGGCAACACGTTAATGCACAGCATGGCGCCTACTCTGTCCCTGCTCTAGACCCCCAGACCCCGTTCCCCTCCCGAGCTGGGGACAGGAGTCCCAACGCACCCTCCCCCACCCGGCCTTTCCCACAGACCCCTATCTCCCAGGCCTCCATCGCTTTCATTATGAGAGCAGCACCCAGGCAGCTCTCGGGGCTGCCACCCCTGAATTGTGCGAGGGAGGGAGGCTTTAAAGCCCCCCCACCCCCAGCCGGGCTGTGGGGGGCTGTGGGAAATGGGGGAGCATGGCCTTGCCCTGGAGCCAGCTCAGCCCCCTTCTTCCTCTGCCCCTTCCCATTCAGCCCCTTAGACCCCCTCCCCTCCCCCGTCTGACCTTGGGGCAGTTACCTCAGCCCAGGGCTCCGAGAGAGAGGTGGGAGTCACCTCCAGCCCCCTCAGCTCCTCCCAGTTGGCACCATCAGAGGGTGGGGTGTAATCCAGGGACTCGCCAGCCCCCCAGGGCTCCTCTGTAGGGGGCTGCCCCACATCCTGGCGGGAGGGCGTTGACAGTTGCCAGGGCCCAGGGGAGCCGGGACAGAATTGGAACAGCAGTCATGGGGGCAAGAAGATTGATGGACGGATGGAAGGAAGGAAGGAAGGGATGGGATGGGATGGAGATGGATGGATGGACAGAAGGAAGGAATGGTACAAGGAAAGAAGGAAGGATGGAATGTTACAGGGATGGATGGATGGACGGACGGACGGATGGAAGGAAGGAAGGAATAGCTCAGGGATGGATGGATGGATGGAAGGAAGGAAAGAATGGCACAGGGATGGATGGATGGATGGATGGATGGACGGATGGAAGGAAGGAAGGAATAGCTCAGGGATGGATGGATGGCTGGATGGCTGGATGGCTGGATGGAAGGAAGGAAGGAAAGAATGGCACAGGGATGGATGGATGGATGGATGGATGGACGGATGGAAGGAAGGAAGGAATAGCTCAGGGATGGATGGATGGCTGGATGGAAGGAAGGAAGGAAAGAATGGCACAGGGATGGATGGATGGATGGATGGATGGATGGATAAACATGCACACGAAGGGCAGACAGACAGACAGATGGGCAGGGGGCCGGGTGGATGCAATGGAGGAAGAAGAGCGCGTGCAGACGGATGGACGGAGAGACAGACAGACACGCACAGGGACAGGCGGATTAGGGGAAGGAGAGAGAGGCTAGAAGCATTAGTAGGTGACTCTTGTTCTTCCCCCCGCCCTGGGGAAGGAGCCAGGGCAGCTGAACCGGACTCATCCCGGATCGTTTTCCCGGACACGGGGCGACAAACCGATCGCGGATGGAATCGCACCGCCCTGCCGTGCCCCCGGCCGGGCTGGGGGACGGACCCTTGCTGCTCAAGGGGGACCTGGGGTGTCCATTCGCGGGAAGGAAGGAGCAAGATAAATAAACACAGCGTGGAAACGGGGGGGGAGAGCCAGGGCCTGTCCACTCCAGGGGGCACCAGCTCCCGCCCAGCCCCAGGGCAGGGGGGGCAGGAAACGGCTTTTTGGGCG